AAAAAAAGAAACAGAAAACAAAACGCCACCTCTGGGCCAGTTTCTGAGGGTATCTGGGGCTTCTTCCTCCAGTGTTCCTTTTTTTTCTTTTGTGATCGCCTGCCCCTTCTTTCCTGAGTTTTAATTTTCTCACCTTACCTGGTGTTATTACCATGTGGCTGAGTGAGCTATGTCGAAGTGGAGGTGTTTCTGGTGCTTTCAGAGCCATGGGGAGGAGGCACTCCTTGCCTTAGGGAGCTTCTGTTCAAAAGGTCCTTAAACAGCAGATGATTCACAGTTGTAAGCAGAAATAGGGAAGTAAGATCCTGAACGACAGGTAAAGTTCAGATGTGGTATTAGCCCGTGGCCACTGTCAGGAGAGAAAATGAAGGAGCTGAATCATGACTTCCATTGTCATTTTAGCTTTTTAGCAAGAGTTTCTATAGGAGCATCAGATGTCAGTGTTACGGTTCACTGTTGTGTTTCTGGTTTTCTCAGTAAATGCACTTGATATTTTAATGCTGAGCCAGAAAGATATCCCTACTGCCTAAGGCATCTTTGCCCATCTTGGCAGTTGGAATCCAGTTTATGAAGCAAGAGTTGAACAGTCTTCATGGTAGAAAGGCCCCTAAATAGATGTATTTTCTGCCTATCTTCCAGAACTGTTCTTTGAATGCTTAACAAAAAGCAGATGACATTTCACTAATGTGGAAGTAGTTCAGTAATATACAGAAATTGCACAGAGTAAGCGCTTTAAAAGGCGCTTGTTGAGTGGATGGTTGCATGAGTGGAATGAACGATATGTGGTTGGTTGGATGTGTGTTCGCGTGGTCCTTTGGTTTTCAGTTTCTTGGACGTTCGGAGCAGCCATTATTGAATGTTGGAAAGTAAAAGGTGGAAAATCCCATAATAGGTTCTGTCTGTATGCTCACTTTGAGTATGAGAAAAATCCCAGAGTCGTCTTACATGTTGTCTTTTTCTCTGTTTTCCAAGTACTGCTTTTTTCCCGACATTGACAACTGGATTGCTTTAAATCTAGACATGAGCTCTGTGCTGACTGGTTAACACACTGCTTAGTCTAGCTTCAAGGAAAAACTGCTGTTACTGGTCATTTTATTGAGTATGCCTCTCTGTTCCTTCCTGTGTCTTTATAAATCTTTAGGACTTTCACTGTCTTCAAAGAAAGAAGGAAATCAATTATTTCACTTTGGCAGATATTTTATTCAACAGTAAGAGTGGATGGAGATATCTAGAAAGACTTTGGGATTGTAACTTAAGCCCTTGTTTTGAAACTCTTACAATTAAAAAAAAAAATCAAAGGTACATAGTTTAATGTTCAGAGTTTAGTAAAATCTTAAAATGCAGTGATCTTTTGACAGTTTTCTTTCCATTAGATTATAGGCATAAAGTATACATCTCCGTTAGGAAATCAAGGGTGAAAACACTACATGTGGATAACTAAGGCAGTTTCCTTTCCCACACCCTCCCCTTAACCATACACAGCTGGGAGGTGGAAATATTGGTCACCCTAGTTAATCTCAGTATCTGCATCTTTGAGAGTTTTGGAATATAGTACCAGGTAGCCCAAGGGAAATTTCATATATAATGGATGGCTTACCTCTTTGTATGTATCATGACAATAGGTTAGCTAAGCTTCCTGTGCATTTCAGCTACATTTCTCACCTGGGGTCCCACAGGACCAGATTCTCCCTAGCCATGCAGAGGAGTGCCTGTTTCGTAGCACAGTCTTTTTGGCTCTTCATTCACTAAACCTAGTTTAAAATAGTCCAGAGGAGACCTGTTCGAGTGTGTAGATACTAGAGTGTTGCAGTGCATTTGGTGGAGAATAGTATTTATATTTGGGGGTACTTGTGCAAGCACTCGTGAATGTCCAGATGCAAGCGAGCGCCTCGTGCAGGGACTCCTGTTCTACTTAATTTTTCTTAATATTACAAAACTTACCAATACCCTGGTCCTGCTCCTTCTCTTTAGAACTGAACCATGGCTAGACGAAGTGATTTTCCTCTACTTTCCATCCTGTTTTCCAAAAGAAAAATAACACACTTGTAGGTTTTAGTTTTTCTATCGCAGGTGGAAGCAACCCCTGAAGTCCTTAAACTTGACTGCTAGTGAAAGTTGTACATTTTTAATCTCTTTTATAAATATGCAGCCCTTCACGACAGAAATTAAAACGTGAACACTTTTCACATTTCCAGAAGATAAACGTTTAATTCTAAGTGGCCTTCTAGTCCTTACTGTAACAAATACCAGGAGAAATTTTAAAAATAAGTACTGCTAGGAAATATTTTCAGACTTTTTATGTAGAGGGCAGAGAAAAGGGGGCACAAAGAAAGCAGGTGGGACGGGGTGTGTTTTGTTTGTCAGCGCCAGTGGGAGACGTTGGGTCACAGTGCACCTCTGACGTCAGAGGGAAGTCAAAGCTGCTTCTATCCGTAGTAGGGGTGCAGTCAGATGCCCTGTTCCTGCGGTTCCTTCTCCGCAGTAGAGACCCAGCTTGCCCTAGACGTCCAGTCAGCCGCCCCCACGGGGCTTCTATGTGAAGTATGGAGACCCCTAAAGCCTGTTTTGCATGTAATTGAAGTTAGAGGACGCGTTAGGAAAAGCTGTTCTTGACTGACTAGAAAGCAAATAATTGTATTCTGTTTCTGATCTTCATTTATAGCACCAGCAACAAGTGGTGCAGGCTGTGGAACGGGCCAAGCAGGTGACCATGGCCGAACTGAACGCCATCATTGGGGTACGTGGCCTTTCCATTTTAGCTCTGATCTTAGTGTGTGTCATCAGCTCGCTTGCTCTCTCTTTTTAAATTTTGTGCCCTCAAAAGGGCAAAAGGCAATAGAGGACCACAAAGTGGAATTAAGCACTTTGCCTTGTGTCTCGTGAAATTGGATGGCTGCCTCAGAAACTTTGGATCACATTCTCACCAGTTCCAGTGGACATGTTCGCAGAAATTCTCCCCAAGGAGCCTGGGTAGTTCTTTTTTCATAATATTTCTTACCTTTGCAATCAGTTCCTGTTGCTGGGCTAGGTCTGAAAAAAAGATGGAGATTGCCCTGATGTTAAAATGACCTGATTGGTTTCTTTGATCTTTCCACAAGTATAGACTAATACCATTTTAGGTGAAATAAATTGTACGTTTGTTTTTGTTTTTGTTTTTGTTTTTGTTTTTTTAATCTCCCTGCTCCTCTTCCTCCCCTGTGATGAGTGGTTCTTAAGGGCTTGTGGCCATTTGTGGTAGGAATAGTAGGTGAAAGGTGCACCTTTAGGCAGAATCCGTGGCCCGGTTAGAAAACCCTTCCTGGTGAATGTAGCATTAATGTTGCATAGAAATCCTACTGGAATTCATGAGTTTGGACAGTCACTCCGACTCCACTTAGATTTTTGTTCTCTCGGATTAAGGTAACAAATAATAAACAAGGTGCTACAGCATAAGGGATAATAAAGGTGAAACTCTTAGCTGAAAAGCGCACAGTATCCATCTCTATTTATGCAGCTGGTACAAGCCTTTCCTTAGATTATTCTAATGAAGACAATACAACTATACTTTCCTCTCTCTGCCCCCTTTGTATAGGTTATACACAAAAGTCTTTTCTCTTTTTTTTCCCCTCAGTGTATCAAACACACTTTGAAATGCTAATTATTCCATTTACTTTCATTAAAATTCAAATTGCTGAGTGAAGATGCGGATAAGGGTCGCCTGATAATCAATCTGGAGTGAAGATATTGCTTCAATTATGCCTCTGTCTTTTAACAAGGAAATCAGAACTCTGGGCTCACTGGCGATGGTGGCGGAACACTAGTCCGATTGGAGCTTGTTTTTTAATGGCCTATTTTGAGCTCTTACCTTGTGTCCCTCTGACCACAAGAAAATACGGGTAGTAAATTGGAAGACAGTAAATGGGAAGGGGTAATAACCTTTAGTTCCTCGGAAGTGCCTTCTCGGAAAGAAGGCTGAATCAGAACAAGCCATGTAGATTTGTTTGGAGCACATTTTCTAGCTCTGGGGATGGGGAAGAGATGAATACATTTTACAATTTTTATTTCCTATATCTCCAGAAAATAGCAGTATGTCACATTTTTTAGAAAGTTGAAGAAGCGTTAAAGTTAGGTACATATGTATATTCCAGTTGTGTTTGCTTGAAGCCTGCGTGGGCTTCCCATTGGGATGTGTTTTGGTCACCAGACCTCCTAAGGTCACCAGGGATAGAGAGCTTGCCTTTCTCACGCACTCCACCACTGTCTGCTGTTGAAGGAGAGAATGCTTGCGGGAGGACTCCGGGCGGGGGCCGTGCTGGGTCACTTCTGGCTTAGTGTTCATTGTCCCTGTGAACTGCTACAAGGCAAGTAGCCATCTTACCTTACTTAGGACTGGTTGGCAGCAGCTGTTTCTGGCTGTTTTGTTTCTTTTTCCGGTCCTATTAGTTGCTGTCTGTACAGTGGAGAGATTAATCTAAATCGAAAACCCATTGTTTTATGTTGAATGTTGCTTAAAAATGTGAGGGAAGATCTAAAAGTCAGAACAAGTTCCTTTCCCTTCAGTGCAAAATCAAGTATAGTTTTAATACTGTTTCATATCTATTTCATTTTACATACTTTGTTTTGAATGGGATGGCAGATTGCCTTTTCTCAGGGAAAGGATGATTTATTAGACCGTAGTCAAGTTACTGACAGACATATTGTATATATATGGGTCCAATTATTAAAATACAGCAAATTTAATTTTGTGACCTAAAAACTTACTTGAAGAGCTAACTCAGAGGGGCAAGCTGTCAAAGCAGCACGAGCGGTTTGTGAATCTGGGGGGCGGGGAGGATTCCAGATTATTTGTGTTTGAGCAGGAAGTGGAGTCACAGTCACATAATCTGACTGTTCTGAAAAATAGATTGCAGAAATAGAAAAACAAACCCAGCAGTTTTAGGGAGCCACAACCCAAGTGAGAAGGAAGAGCCCCATTACAAACTGACTTGATACATTCCTGCTGCTACTGTTCTCTGAGGTGTGTGGTCTTTGTCTATTTCAGCCCTGCGGTGCCTTCAGTCCAGTAGTTTTCAGTTTTGTAACATTGTGGAATTCGCAGTGCACTTGCCCTTCTCATGGCTTGTGTTGTTAGGTGGTGCTGTTTTGACTTGCTACCCAAAGTGATGAGAGGGGTCAATCTTAAGATTTTTGTACTTGGTTTTGGGAATGTAGTCGGCAATGGTTTTCTCCCCTGAGGGAATGAAAATTTTCCTCTCAAGAGGCAAAGACCCATCTAAAGCCCCTGCAGACAGACCTTCATTTGTTTACCACTACGTATGTATCTGTTTTATATGTATGCACACCATCCAGACAAGCGCAAATGTTCCCAGATTTAATGAAATCTGATGAAGCACCTTTTTAACTCTGCAATATTATTCTACCTTCATTGGTAAATGAGCCAAACCAGTGATCCATGCAGTTTAAATGCAAAATGCTGAAGTGAGCCCGAAACCTGGAGAGGCGGCTTGTTCTCTTGACAATAAGCTAGTTGTGTTTAATGGAATGAAACACAGTTATAATGATTTCTTTCACAGGTCATGTTCAGTTTAAAACTGTTGATAGATTGAAATAAGTTAAATATCATTTATCTTTTATTTATAAGGAAAAAACCCAGGAAAATTCCTGTGTTGTATTTTACAGTCAGTATTTTGTGTTTTGTTTTGAGTTGGTCATATCTCACATTTCCCTGAAGCTTTCCCGGAGTTCCCCTAAATGGGCTGAGGGAATGTTATGTATCTAGTTTGATCTTGTCATGTGTCCTACTAGCCACTGTGTTTTTAAATTAGAATCTCTGCGAGATCACACTGTTGGAACAGCACACAAATTGTAGTTTTAAATCAGTAATATGATCTAATTAGAAATGATGTTTTCATTTCCTGTATTATTAAATTGAGTCATCTGACTGTCTTAAAATGCTTTTTAAATCCATTACACTATATAATCAGCACATGCTGTGTGAATGTGGTTATGCTTCATAAAGGAGACTGGCTTGGAACCTCAGAAGAATTTCACTAAAGAAGCTACCATTAGGGGAAAAAAAAGTTTTGTTAGTATGAACATTGGAGAAGAAAATATTTGGCTTGTAAAAATAGAAAGTGGGGTTCCTTTGGATTTCCCTCCACCCTCTTTTTAACCTAACTCTTTGAGGGGAAAAAAAAGGTAGAAAAATGCATTTAAAAAAAAAAAAAAAAAACCAAACCACCCTCTTAAAAAAATTCCTTAAGAACAGGTATGCCATGGTGTTTGTAGGAAAATGCAGTTTAGCACAAGAAATGCTGAACCTCAATTTTTAGCAGTGACATTTTAATGATAGGAAGTCTGCAAAATTATTTGCCATCAATTGTGAAGGCAATAACAAGCCTTGGTGGTTTTTCACACTCTCTGTGTTAAGTGCTTTCAGAATGACAGCGTAAACTGTGTTAGAGAACTCCAAGGAAGTAAAACTGATTAAAATGTTCATGCTTGAATGGTGCTGATGGAATAGTTCATTTGGACTTTCTCTACCTCCTGCAGCTCAAGCTGAAATATTAAAATTCAGTGGATTTAAATCTCTCTCCTCTCAGCTCAGGAAAAAAACATTACATTTTAATAGGTTTTAAACCCATAATTCATTGGTTTGGAGCAGCACTATTAAATCTATTTAAATATTACTTGTATTACTAAGGAAATGATTTAAATGACTTTGCCTTTACCATCCTATGTGTTTGAGTTAGTTTAAAAAAAGGAAGACAGTACCTTCAAGGGTTTTTTCTTCCTCTTAGCATTTTGTTTTATTGTCCTTGTCATATGATTGGCCCTTAAATTATACACACACACACACACACACACACACACACACACACACACACACACGTATACGTGCACACACACATACACATATTCCAGATTGGCATTTGGCAGAGGGTCTTACAATATGACAGTTTTAAAATGTATATCCCTCTTTTTCCATTGTAGATTTCAAAACTGCCATTTTAAGTTTCAGAGGCATTTAGACATGCTGTTGTGGTAATTTTTCTTGTGCTTTTTTTTTTTAATGTTTATTTGTTTTTGAGCGAGGGAGATAGAAATGAGCGGGGGAGGGGCAGAGAGAGAGGGAGAGGGAGAGAGGGAGGGAGGGAGGGAGAGAGACACAAAATCGGAAGCAGGCTCCAGGCTCTGAGCTGTTAGCATAGAGCCCGATGCAGGGCTCGAACTCCAGAATGGCCAGATCATGACCTGAGCCGAAGTCAGATGCTTAACCAACTGAACCACCCAGGTACCCCCTCTTGTTGTCTTTTTAAGCTAACTGGGCATTAGGCAAAAAACTGAATGATATAAATATGCAGGTATTTATAAAAACGTGTGTGCGTTTGTTCCTGCCCATTATATCACAGCCTCCAGTAACACAAATTTGAAGTAAAATTAAAGAGGCTTCACTTTCTTAACAAACGCAAAACTGTATTAAGTATCAGGAGCCATGCTTTCATCCTCCCTCTGTTTTTGCCCAGTAAAGGGCTTTCTAGAGGCACTGCCAGTTGTGCAGGAATTGTGCTGTTGTCCTCTTTTGGACACAGATAGCCAGCCCCGCAGTGCCGAAGCAGTGGTGTCCCTCCAGGGTTACCACGTTCCCCTGGTCAGCCTTCCTTTCTGGCGTTTTCATTGCCATTGCCATTGCCATTGCAACCACAGGCTTCCCAGGGTTTGACAGCGCCTCCCCTCAGACACTGCAGACCTCTTGCA